AACAACAAATCAACAGTTGTGCAGTTTGTCGGCGGTAAACGCTCGAGTTCACGACGCGACTGAAGGATTACGCACAATTCTGAAAAATGGGCAAAACAAAACACAGAATTTTGGTTTGATTTGATTTTGTCCTGTTAAAAAAACTCAAAAAGAATATGTCTGTGGATATGAATTTTCTGAACATAAACAACACTTTAAAGGTGCAGTGTGTAACTTTTCACACACAGCCACATTATGCTGAAGACTTCAATTTTAAGAATATTTTGGGCTCTTGTGCAACAGAAAAACATTCCAGAAAACAAATAAGGGCCTGGTCAAGCAGAAGTAAACAACAAGGCCAAAAATTCAAGTTAATGCATCTGATATAAAAATGTATTGAACAGATACATATGTACTCTAGTTTATGAAACTGTTGACCTTTTTTCTGTACCATTTTTGCACCTTCTACTTGTTTGTACAATTTTCCCTCCGTTACTTTTCCCTCCGTTACCATGATCTTTCTTAATAAAAAATCTTATTACTCAAAAAGTAAGAGGTTTTTCAACCTAATCTTGTACCATATGGTAGAAAACTATATGAAGCAAATATTCAAACCAGTTTGTTAAGGATATGTAAGTGAGAACCAAGAGTTATCACTGTTTGTATTTATTGACCAAAAAGTGCTGCATATTTCATTCCCTCCGTTACCGACATGAGTTTTTAAATTTTTTGTCAACAACTTGAAAGGTTTAACTTGACCCTGTTGGAGTGTAACTCTTTCCTACATTCTGATACTTTACTTATTTCAATAGTTCCTCTAGTTTCTGAATAAAAGACATTTGAATGTCAAAAATCTGCCCCTGTTTCCCTCCGTTACCACTTGACCGAACTCAGTAAGTTCCTTTTGAAAAGGTTTTCAAAGTTTGTTGCAGCGTTTTCACTCATGCTACTCAAGACACCATCTTCAGGTGTGGTTCTGTCCTGCGCTTCCCCGGTTTAGGCTCCTGGCTCCACTAATGAATCACTCTGTTACAACCAATGGAACAGGTGTTAAGTTAATACTGCTGAGGTTGGGAAAATATCAGAATAAATGTATATTTTTGTTTATTAAAATAAAATGGCAAATTTTGGTAGGGTCTATTTTGTCTCCCCTAAATATTTGGTGTGACATGTCCCCACCGTCCCTATGCAAACCTCTACCCTTGTCTTTTTTAGTTCGGCAAGGCCATCACTTTCTTGTTTTTATAGATATCTGTTCAGTTACAGGTGGTTTTAGAGCTCAAAAAAAAAAAAAATAAAAAAAAAAAAAAAAAAAAAAAGGCATTTTGACTGTGAATGGGGTCGCCTCTTCACAGATCTGACCTGTAACTTGGTCTGGTTTGCTCACAATAAAGATAAAAATGTTTTAATATCATACTGTGAAACATTCCAGACAAATCAATAACATTTTTATGGAGAGAAGCGTTTGACGGACCCTCCGGCAGAAGCTACAGAAAAGACGTCTGCGCGGGACAGAATTTTCATGCTTCGCTCTCTTGCATCTGTGATATTTTGTCCTGCCCACAAATCCCACAAGATTAGGGACGTTCACTTTCTTAATTTCTATCAAACATGGAGAAGCAGAAAGAAATTGTCTAAAAAGGTGCGTGAGATTCGACCACATCTGCAAATTTAGGCTGCTTAAAATGTTTTTATTCATGCCAAATAAAATATCCAGCTCAAATGATGTATGATAGTCAAACATTAATCATTTGTATATTTTAATTTACTCTCATATTTAGTTTGCGGGACAACAGTTTATCATCCCACCCACCTGCTCCAGCCTTTCAGAACGTGTCCCGCGCTGCACTGTTTGCGTCAGGTCCCGTGAGAGTGCGGGGCTCTACTACAAAATTTGTTCAAAAATGATGCAGAATCACTTTTAGGAAGGGCTTAACTATGTATTTGATTGAAATGTGTAAGATAAAATTGTGAAATAGTTGTGGCGCTCTCTCCTACTCACCAGACGTGACTGAGCGGTGTCCAGGTGATGAAGATTAAAGGTTGTATGGAGGATTTTTGTTTTGTTTCAGATTGTCAATGATAGGTTAAAATAACATTACAGAGATGCAGCAGCCTTGTAATTATGAAATTCTTGAAAAAAAAAAGAATGAAAATCTATCAAATGTGGACGTGGTGAGGCCAGATAAACATCAGCCAATAGAAAACAAGGCTACCTCATTTTCTATTGGCTGTTAGGTCGTCAATCAAACTCCCTACGTTTCTAGTGTAACTGACTCGGCGGCGCGCTGGGATTACGTGGTTTATGCGGCGGTTCTTAGAGACTTTTTTAAACTGTAGCTTCATCGCAATCCGCACAAAGTTTGTTGCGACGGCGGACGAGAATCCACGACCGGTTCGCCGCGAAAAGAAAGTCCGTTTTCGAGATCGCTGAAAGAAGAAGAGAAGAGGAAAGGGAGCGAAGACAAACTGAGGTGATTCTTGGAGATTCCTCACAGCGATGGCGCGACTCAAGTAGATGAAGGTCGCTAAATTGTTTTTAGATCGGTCACTTCGACTGTAATTCCGAACGCCCACTGGCTGTAAACGTGTGATTTCTAGAGTAAGGAGGCGGGAGGAGATGTTTCTACTGAGGAGCTGTGGAGGAGGAACATTTGAAAAAGAATTGTCGCTGTAGTTCTCTTCCCTTAAAAAAATCCTCTATACAACCTTTAATGTTCAGCTCATGTCAGGAGGTGAGAAAAACAGCGTCCTCCCCAAATCAGAATACTCAATGTTGGGACTTTTAAAATGTAATCCCCTACAGATTACAGATTACACATCCCAAAATGTAGTTTGTAACGTAATCCATTAAATTACTTAAAGTGAGTAATGTAATCTGAATACTTTGGATTACTTTGTTTGTTGTAGAGAAACAAAGACGAGGAAATCTTCACATAAGAAGTTTTGTCTGATAAAAGAAAATAAAAAAGCTGATTCTTTACTTCACCAAATTAAAAATATTATTGATAGAAGAGGAGGAAACACGGTCCACGCAGCAGGATTTAGTCCAGTTAAGTCCTGTTTTAGTCCTGGTTTAGTCCTGGTTTAGTCTTGGTTTAGTCTTGGTTTAGACCTAGTTTAGAACTGGTTTATACCTGGTTTAAAACTGGTTTAGTCTTGGTTTAGACCCAGTTTTAGTCTTGGTTTAGTCTTGGTTTAGACCTGGTTTAGACCCAGTTTTAGTCCTGGTTTAGTCTTGGTTTAGACCTGGTTTAGACCCAGTTTTAGTCCTGGTTTAGTCTTGGTTTAGACCTAGTTTAGAACTGGTTTATACCTGGTTTAAAACTGGTTTAGTCTTGGTTTAGACCCAGTTTTAGTCTTGGTTTAGTCTTGGTTTAGACCAGTTTAGACCCAGTTTTAGTCCTGGTTTAGTCTTGGTTTAGATCTAGTTTAGACCTGGTTTAGTCCTGGTTTAGTCTTGGTTTAGACCTGGTTTAGACCTGTTTAGACCCAGTTTTAGTCTTGGTTTAGTCTTGGTTTAGACCCAGTTTTAGTCCTGGTTTAGTCTTGGTTTAGACCTAGTTTAGAACTGGTTTATACCTGGTTTAAAACTGGTTTAGTCTTGGTTTAGACCCAGTTTAGACCCAGTTTTAGTCTTGGTTTAGTCTTGGTTTAGACCCAGTTTAGACCCAGTTTTAGTCTTGGTTTAGTCTTGGTTTAGACCCAGTTTAGACCCAGTTTTAGTCCTGGTTTAGTCTTGGTTTAGACCTAGTTTAGACCTGGTTTAGTCCTGGTTTAGTCTTGGTTTAGACCTGGTTTAGACCTGGTTTAGTCCTGGTTTAGTCTTGGTTTAGACCTAGTTTAGAACTGGTTTATACCTGGTTTAAAACTTTAGTCTTGGTTTAGACCCAGTTTAGACCCAGTTTTAGTTTAGTCTTGGTTTAGACCCAGTTTAGACCCAGTTTTAGTCTTGGTTTAGTCTTGGTTTAGACCCAGTTTAGACCCAGTTTTAGTCTTGGTTTAGTCTTGGTTTAGTCTTGGTTTAGTCTTGGTTTAGTCTTGGTTTACCTGGTTTTAGTCCTGGTTTAGTCTTGGTTTAGTCGGTCTGGTTTAGTCCTGGTTTAGTCCTGGTTTAGACCTGGTTTAGACCTGGTTTGGTCTAGTATCTGGCAATGAGTGGAATTACTGGGAGAAAAAAAATAAAAGGGGGATTTAGCCCGAAATGTGAAAACAGGAAAATCCCGCTGTGTAATCCATTTATTTCAACAAAGTAACTGTAATCCAATTACCACTCATTAAAACAGTAACTGTAACTGAATACAGTTACTCATAATTTGTACTCTGATTACTCCGGTACATGTAATCTGTTACTCCCCCACACTGAGATACTAATGCTCAACAGTTCACATCACTTTACATGTTACTACAGGGAGGGTCTTTCTCGCTGATTTCCTTAACGCTGCTATACTGATTTTAAAAGACCTAACGGGTTATTTTACTGTGAGTTTCAAGTTCTGTTTACACGTACACGGGTATTTTTAAAAACTGAGACATTGTCTTTGGTTTTGTTAGGCGTGTTCTATCAAAAATTATTAGACTCAATCAATTTAAATCACATAAAATCTATTCCCCTGCCAATACAATTCTAACACCGAGCTGTGGGTCAGACCGCTGCCCCTGACGGCCGACAGCTCCACAGGACG